CAAGCGCTTAGTTGATAATAGCGAAGCAATTGGTGGATCAATTGACACTTAAGACATAATTCTATATATTTTGAATGGTCTTCCAACTAACTAACAGCCTTTCAAAACAGCTATATGAACCAAGCTCACTCAGATCAATCTAAACTATTTATCTTCACTTCTCTACAGCCAGGAAGTAAATCTTGTTACTAATGTCGTAAAAGAACTCACTCTGTCAGAATCTACCCTTTCTCACGACAACCAATTTGCTCTTGCATCAACAAGGGGACAAGGATGTGGATGTATGTCTTTCTTCTTTCGTGGTCAGAGTCGCTCACCAATTTACACCAACTTTTCCTCTCCTATTGTTGCCAAGGGCAACAAACAACAAATTTCCATGTCAAATTTGCGACAGAAGGGGTCACACAACTTTTACATGTTGGCACCATGTAAATCTATAGTACCTTCCTTCTACACCTCAAGCTATGCTTGTCGCACCTCATAATCAAATTTAAAAGAATTATCTTTTTACCATTTGAAGAATATATCATAGCTTCTATAAATCATCAATATAAACATTAACTAGTGAAAAAAACTAAAATCATATACATCAAAATATTTTCACTAACTCATTTATCAAAATTATATTTATACTAGCCAATAGATCACTACAATCACTAATTAATCACAAGCTACTAAATGTAAAAGAATAAAAGAAAATGCAGAACAAAATCAAAAGAAGAACATAAAAATCTTTATCAGTATCACTACTTACGATTCTGATCCATTCTCTAACCTGAAATCATTAAAATTTATATAATGATCTAAAAGCCTAGCATGTAACCAAAACTCTATCATTGTTTTCAATATAAGACAAATAAATCAATATACATATTTATGTTCTAGTCAATATCAATCATAGCTTAATATGAGCAATAAAATTTTCAAAATCCAATAATAAAATCAATATGAACACTAAAATCAAACAATAAAAAAAATGGTAAAGAGGATTATTGTCAAATGAGTCATATCAATATGCTATGTTATGTAATATAAATATTAATGCTAGTACAATTTTAATTATATTATCAATCAATTCAACGTACTATCATATAAATGCAATGATGAATGCAACATCTTTAATTGATATTTTCATCCTTCCACCCCAATTATTGCCCACTTGGGTATCAATCTTAATCTAAGTCTAACTGTCAATTCATTGGTATCGATCAACTCCATTTATCGCCCAATTGGATATCAGTCTTAATTAGACTCAATTCCCAACCAATTGGTATAAGTCTGTATCTTTCATGTTAACAAACATGCTCCCATCTAGCCTCTCTTACATGCAAATACTATATTGTCATGTCATGTATAAAATGCAGAAAAATTTATCAAATTTATCTACTATGCATTTACTTTAAAAACTTATAGCTTCAAATTTAATCATTGTAAATGCAAATATTTATTTCAAAATGCTTATATTGACGATATCTATCATATACCAAAAGTTATGTAGTGAAAGTTTAACTAATACAAAATTATCCTCATTTTTTGACAACAAAAAAATTGATAAAAAATACCAAAAACAAAAAATATTGAAATAAAAAAAGGGGTAATGATTTCTTACAGTGAGACAAGAAAATTTTCTAGTGAAACCAATCGAAAATTTTCTAACATTTTCCAATTTTTTTTTTAACATAATCAAAAATTTTCCAACATAATCGACAAATGAAAATTGTTCTACGACATCCAAATATAACCTTTTTCCTTTCTCTCTCACATTTTCTATCAAATTTCCCTAACTGGTCTTTGTTAGCCAAAATACATAGGGAAATGGACTTAAAAAGTTTTAAGGATTCTGTTAGTAACTTAGAATATTTTGATTAAAATAATAATTTAATATTATATAATTAATTTAATTAATTTTTAGTATAAAACTTATATAAATCTTTTTGGGGCTTCAAAAATTAAAAAAAAATCATAAAATAGCTCATTGCCAAAACATCAGCACTTGCTGCTCCTCCATGGTCCCTTGATAGTGGAGCTACTGCCTACTTAACACCTGATTTCAACTCCTTACAAAGTCCTATCTACAAGACTCAGATCAGGTCCTATATAGTTGGCAACGATACCTTCTTAACCCATTATTCATTTAGGAAAAGGCCTATTACCTACACCCTCTCATATGCTTACTCTCTCTTCTTTATTACATGCTCCTCATTTATCTCATCAACTTTCCATTTCCGAATTAGTTGAAAATAACAACTATTACACTTCTTTGGACTCGTCTAGTTATGTCATTAAGGATCAGGTGGCGCATTAAATACTTCTCCAAGGTCCTTGCCTAAATGGTTTATTATACCCGATCTCCACAAGTTCTCAGCTACCAACCTCCCCACCTGTTGCATTTGCCTTCACTTCGACTATCTCAACTCTTTGGCATCAATGATTGGGCCACCCGAACTCAACTACTATTTATGTGATTGCAAAGTCTTTTCCTAAGTTATGTAATATTTCTTCCACTTTTTGTACTCCATCTGCTCTTGCAAAGATTCACAAGCTACCTTTCAATGAATCACTCAATTTTACTATAGTTCCTTTACATACTGATGCTTGGGATTCTTCACCAATTGTTTCCAAAATTGGTTTTCGTTTTTACTTAATATGTGTTAATGATTACTCTCGTTATACCTGAATATATCCTCTTAAAACAAAAATAAAAAAACTACACAAATATTTATTCATTTAAAATCATCCATTGAAAAACATTTAAACAATACCATACAAACTCTCCGTACCGACGGTGGCTGTGAATTCATTAACCATGTTCTAAAATAATTTCTAGCTCAAAACGACATTCATCACCAATACACATGCCCTCATACTACTTAATAAAATGGTGTTGACGAATGCAAGCACAATATCTTCTTGAAATAGTTCATACAATCCTCTATGAATCACAATTATCATCTAATTTATGGAGCACTTTTGATGAGCTTACCCGCCTACCTTCGCTGAGGAGTCCACTCCATGCTATACTTACTGTTGTATATCTAATAAACCAACCGTCATCTCTCTCTCTCTCCCATTTTAGTTACTCTACAACAAACCTCCTAATGATTTTCATCTTTGAGTTTTTGGATGTTGTTGTTTTCCATGGCTCTGCCTACATGCTTCACATAAACATGCACCTCGATTCACTCCCTGTATTTTCCTTGGCATACCTCCTCTAAAAAAGAATACAAATGTTACAACCCACCTAACAGTCGCATTATAATCTTTTGTTGTGTCCAAATTGATGAGTCCAAAACATTTCCACCATCTCCACCAACTTCCACTACAACGCTTGAGCATACATTTGTTCTTTTTCCACCAATTATCTTCCCAGCTACTTCACCTAAACAAATGCCCCAAGCTCCAGTTTCTACAAACAGCTCACATACCTCATCCCTACATCTATATCGTTCTCCAGTAATATCCTCTTCTATTTCTAATTCAACAAATTCTGCTTCTAATTCCTCCACTACACCCCCTATACAAAATCGACATCCTATGACAACTCCTCTTCACACCGGTTCACTCAAACCTCATCAAATCTTACACCTCAGCCACATACTACAAACTAATCCAGCCTGCTATACCACTGCCATAAAATTTTCGGAATGGTTCCAAGCTCTCTTAATTGAAGTTAATGCCTTGCAAGGTCAAGGGACATGGACCTTAATTCCATCTAAACCACATCAAAATGTCATTGGATGAAAATGAATTTTTAAAATAAAAAGAAACTCCGATGGTTCCATTTCTAGTTACAATGCCGGATTAATTGCTTAAGATTTCAAACAAGAAAATGAGTTAGATTACCATGAAATATTTAGCACCATTGCTAAATCTCCTACCATTTATCTCCTTCTTACTATTTCTCTCCATTTTAAGTGGTAAATTTTACAACTTATGTAGCAAATGCATTCCTCCATGATCATTTAAATGTCCCAACCTCAAGCTTTTCAAGACCCCCTCCATCTTAATCATGTTTGTCTCCTAAAAAAATCTTCAATGGCCTTAAACAAGCTCCTCGCCAATGATTTGGCACCTCTCTTTCTATCTCATACTTCAAAGTTTTCATTCCAGCTCTACCGATTCTTCTTTTATGATCTACAAATTCGACATCAGCCATATACATTTCCTCATTTATGTTGAAGATATCCTCGTCACTAGAAATGATCAAGTTTTCATCACAAATCTTCTACATAAACTTCATCTACGTTTTAATAAGCACAACTAAGGAACCTTACCTCAGTTCCTTGGCTTTGATGTTACTCCCTCAACCAGTGGCTATCATCTATCTCAAAATTCCTATGCGTTAGAAATTTGGCAAAAAAGATAGAATGACAAACTGCAAGCCTTTACTTAACCCCCTGCCCTCCAAATACTCTTCATCTCCAGAATTACAGCAACCTTTCTATAATATAACCCATCTCTGTTTAGACAGCATCCAAGTTCTCTATAATATATTGTCTCTATAATATCTTCTCCAGAATTCTCCGTTATTTGAAAGGAACCTCCACTCATGGCCTGCTCATTTAAAACAGAACTCTTCAGCTTCAAGCATTTTGGGACTTGGATTGGGCGGATGACACCAACGATCGCAAATCTACCACTGTTTTCTCTGTTTTTCTTGGACCTAATCTTACTTCTTGGTGTGTAAAAAAAATAAACGATAGTCAATCGTTTTTCTACCATAGCCGAATATTGCTCCCAGGCAGCAGCAACTGCAGAAATTATTTGGCTCCAGCGCCTATGACAGATTTTTCTATTAACCTAGATAGAACTTGACTCTTTTGTGAAAATATATTTTCCTTGTCAATTGCAAGCAACCCAATCTTCCAAGCAATAACAAAACACATTGAATAGTTTGCATGTAGTAGCATGGCTCTGATATCATGTAAAAATACCTGAATCGTTTGTCTTGATAACAGCGAATACAAATAAACTTGAAAGTAGAGAGATAAAGAGACGAGTAATGAAAAGAAGCTTTTGTATTAATTACTTTCATGAGTTCCCAAGCATACAAGAACAGCATTTATACATAATAAAGTTGGAATGGTAAATACAAAAATGTCATTGAGGTGGTTAGATAACAACGGTGGAGAATTAATCACATTAAAGTAAAATTGTAAAGCTGTAGTGGTTGCAGGCTGAATAAGCAGAAGTGTAGAGCTCGAAAATAACAAAGTGGAGAACGTCTTCTGCGATGTCAGTGCTATCATATATATATATATATATATATATATATATATATATATATATATAAAAGAAAAACTATTCTATTATAGAATTACCATCTGATATTTGATATAAATATATTTGAGCTTACATCATTTATCTGTAGTCAAAGATTTTCTAAAACAATCTACGAAACCTTCACAGTCGGTAGAAAGCACAGCACACTCAACATCATCATCACGCCTGCTCATATTTGAATGAGGTGATTGAAGGTTACCATGAGTTTGACAGGCCTTCATAGTCTTACAGTGCTCTCCTTCATCATCTCTGATGTTCAAGAACACATCATACAGGTTCTCTAAACAAAAAATCAAAAGAAGGATAAGTTATGGCTAGTTCTCCGGTTACTTTAATTTATAAAGAACCAGCTGAAATTTTGAATCAGTAAGTGGCAATTTGTATTACCTATTTTAGGCCTCCTGGTGTTTGGAGTTCTGGAAGTTTGGAATTCATCTGGATGTATAGAGAATAACAGAAAACTGAAGTTAGAACCAGCAAACAAACTGTTGTTTATCAAAACGGTTCTTGTCAATGTTGAAAGACCTACCGAACAAATATAGGTCTTCATTCATGTAATAATCTATAGCAACCTGTGGAGCAGGTAACTTCTTTAACTCCTCTGCGCTCATGGAGATAAAACGATTAAATAATAATGGTCACTGAATCAAAGGCATTTAAAATAAAGATTTTTGTAAAGAAAAACCTAAAAACCATCAGGTGGTTAATAATATTCTCCTACTTCTAGTGTGCAGGTGGTATAGAGAATCCCACTTTCAAAAGCAATAAATAATTAGTCATAAACATGCTTTCGGACAAAACTAAAATGCTTAATTAATTTATCATAACTATCATATGTACCACCAATATGAGGTAACAGATCATAATCAAACTACAACTGGAAAATGTGAAGGCACCTAAAGATATATAAAGGGAAAGTTCTATTGAGCTTCATGTGTAACAGTAACAGAAGTCTAGAAGTTCGACTAGTTCCTAGGCCAATGGTGAAAGGAGTTTAAGAGAGAATCACCATTCCAATGCACAAGAAATTGTCATCTCAAAAATATCTAATTAGATAATAACATAAGCAAAAGCTTGATGGTTTACTATTATGTGGGCTCCAAAAATTCGGCCTCGGCCTCCCCTCGCTTTTCTTATTCGGCGAGAGAGTTTTAACGAACTAAGTTCCGAGGTAAATTTTGGAAGGCAGATGGGTTTGTAGATAAGACTATATATATATATATATATAAAAACTCAAAAGCTCGTAAAAGATAGGCCATAGCAGAACCAAAATAACATGATTAAAAAATGTCATAACAATTGTGCCAGAATTCAGTTAGTAGTAATACAATTTAACCCTTAGAAAAATATCATAAAGAAAAATGGAAAAGCAGGTAGATGACCATTATGTTCCTGACAAATTGAGGGAGTTTCAGTGAATTATCCCTCTTAATGCATAAGATATAGTAACAAGGCTAAATTTCACCTTTTAACAAGTTGAGCATACATTAACGTTTTCTGGAAGTGGTGAAAAAAGGCTTCATTCCCTCTTTCAGAAATCATAATCAATTTCTTAGCATACTAACAAACCTGAATAATTTTCCTAGCCTATGAACAGATGGAATCAGGTTTAAGCTTGCAGGAATTCTATTTACTGCTCTCTCCCAACTCAAACAGGCTTAGAAGCAGGCAGTTGTTATAGTACTCAAGAAGAAGCATATTTTGTTATTTCTGAAAATCATACAAGAAACATGAAGTATTCTGAGTAGGAAAGATTACCTCCTTGGAGTTTTATAAATTTATCATAAGTAGAGTAGGCATGCCTCTCAACACATTCAGAAAAATGATCTGCACCCAGAGAAAAATCATAATATGAAAACTAAAGACGCAAGGTGCAATTTAGAAATTGGTAATAATTTCTTGTTGGACAACATAAAAAAAGAGCAACTTACCATTAAACATCCCAATGTATAAGCAAAAATTCAAGGATAAGCGAAAATTCAAAGAAAATTACTGTCATAATGGCTGGGAAAAAACTGCAATATTTATGATGTCACACTGTTCAACTAAGAGAGTGGCTATTAAATAGACCAAAATTTCATTTTTGCTACTGTGAGAGGTGAAACTAAACTGCTTAATATTAAGGAGTTGCCTGAATTCTAAAGAAATGGCACAACATATGTACAGTAACGTATAAGAGTAATATGCTAACCGGTATGCTCTTTATACACTCCACCAACCACAACTCACCCACCGATTCACAACAGCCACTGAACTAACCCTCAATCCCCAAAAGTTCAGGTAAGTGAGTTTCACAAACTAAAAATAAAACTAAATTCTATATGAAAACAAATCTAAACGATGGCGCTACACTTTTTTCCAACCCATTATTAGAGTTTTATCGAATGGGTGATACCCTTGGTAACAACATTTGAGAAAGGTACCATTTTGAGGAACTTTTAAATGGATAAATTATTGATATCAGGTAAATCTCTTTGTTTATTATTTCTTTTGTATTATTCTCCCTTTTATTTGAAATGAGAGATTTGGAGCTTATCTTTTAACCTATGTTACTTCTTTATGGTCGATTGGACACTCCCCTCCCAAAAGTGTTTTTTTTTTTTGTGGTACTTTTCTTAAATGTGACATCACATTAAGATAAAAATTCATGGTTATACTTCAAAAAGCTTACATCCACAAGTGAGAAGAAAATATCTAATCAATTCAAAAGAACTCACCAATGCAAATAAAAGGGGAACAACAAAACATTTTCTTAAATCTAAGTACACCCAATCTCACAACAAAAGTGAGGCTCCATACCAAAAAGTTTCTCAAAAAGAAACATTTCCCACATATCTATCAAGATTACTCTATTGCAATAACCCCAAAATTTATAAAAAAACCAAAAGGAGTATTAGAGTTTTTAGATTTCTTGAGTATCAGGAGGACGTAGCGATCATAATGATGAAGACATCAGACCTTGGAGAGTTTATTAGAGGCGGGGCCGACGATGTACGGCCACGCCTCTTGTAAATTTGTGAAACTTTTAGGTGCCTATTAGAAAAACATTTCTTACATGTTTAGCATCTAAAGTTCAACCCACCAAATCCACTGCAAAACGAGCCTTATGTGACCCCACCCTGTGAGAACCCAAGCCTACCTCCACTCCCAAATATTCCCAAAATATCTATTACTGAGAAGGTTGACATGATTCTAAGTGATAACATTATTTCCACAAAAGAGGGTGGATGAATATGGTATCTGATAAGGTGGAGAGATAAACTAGCCACCCTATCCCTTACACTCCGTCTAAACCTCATGCCCCATATCGACCCCCCCAATATGGACATGACCATAACCTTGACCCGAATATTCCACTAATGAAAAATATCAAGGTCGATGCTCCAACATTTGATGGTACCCTCGATCCCCAGCTCTTTTTGGACTGGATTAAGGGATGGATAGTTTCTTTAAGTGGTACAACATCTTTGAGGCTGAAATGAAACTCACTAATAGGGCTAGTCAATTTTGGTCCAACCTAGAAAGCCTTAGGAAATCTAGAAATGAATATCCCATCATTGATTGGTCGTCGATGAAGCGCGTGCTCAAGCAGAAGTACTTACCTCCCTCGTACTTCCCTAGGCTCTTAGATAGGTCCAATAGGTTGACTCAAGGAAACAAACCAATGAAGGATTACATCACATCTTTTAATGATTATCTGAGAGACCTCTACTACCCCCGTGCAAATTCTGCACATGTTTCGTACTGGGTTGCATGAGGATCTACACAACGAACTATTTGCCCGGAATGTTACTACCCTTGAAAATGCCTACAACTTAGTGTTAGACCTCAAGGAAACCCATCCCCAACACCCTAGTCGGCACCAAGACTCTAGGTCTTCCTACAGACCTTCCGGTAGTTCCACTCCTCACCCCTCCACTGCATGGCCGACCCCAGGAAACCTGTCTGACCACCTTTTGGTCCTCCCACACCCTGTCCCAACTTTGGAAGCAAGTCTCCCACTCCGGATACCCCTAGGTTCCACCTGGGAACTAAGTGCTTTCGATACTAGGGGTATGGACGCATCGCCTCTCATTGTTCTAGCCCCTACAAAGTCACTATTATTGAGGAAATCACTAAAGAAGAACCTGAGCTCGAGGTTGACCAGATTCACCAAGTGGAAGACAATGGTGAATTCTTCGAGGAGGATGACAACACTATTGTCATCTACTGTATATAGAAAATAGACACCTCTCTGATCTGCATAGTGAGATGTGCACTGTCACAACCTGTTGCCACTGATGCCTGATACAAGACTGCAATCTTTCACACCTACACCAAAATAAAGGATAAGAACTGTAAAGTCATAGTGGATAGTGACAACTACATCAATGTTGTCTCCTCCAGCATGATGTCTAAACTCGGTCTGTCTGCTGTCCCTCACCCCAACCCATATAAGATAGCTTGGGTCAACTCCACTGCCTTGGAGGTGAAAGAAAGAAGCCTTATACCTATCTCCTTTGATATCTATAAGGAAAATGTTTGGTGTGATGTGTTGATTATGGATGTGTGAACCCAAGCCTACCTCCATTACCAAATATTCCCAAAATACCTATAGCAAAGAAGGTTGACATGATTCTAAGTGATGACATTATTTCCACATAAGAGGGTGGATGAAGAAGGTATCTGATAAGGTGGAGAGGTAAACTGGAGTCAGAGGATATGTGGCTAGAGCGCAAGGAGCTTCAGCAGGTCGACCCAGATGAACAAGAGTTCTATGAGAGCACCCGAGACGCGTACTCGACCGAGTCGAACTTTTTCCCACCTCGGGAGAATGATGAGGACATCAGGCCTTGGAGAGTTTACCAGAGGCGTTGAGGCAAACGATCTACGGCCATAATCGCACTGATCTACTTTTGATTATCATTGTATTAAATTTATTCTTTTATTATGTTTCATGAGTTTATTATACTTTTCTGTTTATGTCATCGCTTAAGGGCCTAGTCATGTGTATGCCCTAGAGGCAATTAAGTCTTTTGTATTTTCTTTATTGTTTTGACTATTTAAAGCCTTCCCCTCTTTCTGTGAGGTCAGTTGAATGATTATTATGAATTTTTCTGCATCCATGTGTTTGGAGAGATCAAGGATTCATGCTAGGTAGGTCGAATATGGAAGCCATATATTTATTAAGAGCTTTGAGGGAGAAATATAGAGAAAATAAGGAGGATCTACATATGATATTTATTGATTTAGAAAAAGCATATAATAAAGTTCCAGGAGAAGTGCTATGGAGAGTTCTTGAAAAGAAATGAGTTAATGACGCTTATATTCAAATCATTAAAGATATGTATGCATGAGCTATTACTTATGTTCAAACACAAGGTGGTTTGATCAAGTATTTTCCTATTTCGGTTGGGTTACATCAAGGATCAGCCTTAAGCCCATATCTTTTTGCTTTAGTCATGGATGTTCTCACTAGACATTTGCAAGATAATGTACCTTAGTGTATGTTTTTTGCCGATGATATTCTTCTTGTTGATAAGACTAGAGAGGGAGTTGAAGGTAAACTTGAATTATGGAGGTCAACCTTAGAGTCTAAAAGTTTTCACTTGAGTAGATCTAAAATGGAATATATTAAGTTTAATTTTAGTAGTAATAGACCTAGTGAGGAGATTGTGACTTTGGGCAATCAAGTCATTAATAAGAGTACATGTTTTAGATATCTTGGATATATTGTTCAGAGTGATGGTGAAATAGATGGGGATATTATCAGCAGAATTCAAGTTGGATGGTTGAAGTGGAGGAATGTATCGAGCTTATTGTGTGGTAGAAAAGTACCCCTCAAACTTAAGGGAAAATTCTATAAGATGGTGGTGAGGCCTGCAATGCTTTATGGTGCCGAATGTTGGCCATTAAAAGAAAAAGGCTTGATGTTGATGTTGTTGTTGTTGTTGCATGTGTTTGGAGAGACCGTGAGAGTTCTTGGAGAGATTGAAATCCCTAGGTGAGGGCATCGCAATACCGACCAACTGCAGGAAGTGTCCGGGTTCGTGGTCGTCTTCATCGCTCCCCTTCCTCCCTCCCTTCCATTCCCCACCGTCAACCAAAGCCCCTCCCCCCTCTCTTGGCCTAACCCCCAACCGCCCCTCTCCTAGCGCTCGGCCACCCATAATCCCACCTCCTCTCCAGGCCAAGCCCCACCTCCACTACAACCCAACCGGCCACCCTCTCACCCCTTCAAACCACCAAAACCTAACCCTAACCCTAGCCACCCCACCCCCCTTTTCCCCTACCATTGCCTCCAAAATTCAAACCTTCCATATTTACTTTCCATTCTTGACCCATCGTCTTTTGGAAAGCTTTGATTACAAATCCCAATCAATTTTTGAATTTAAAATATTTACTAAAATAGAAAATCTATTTTAGGAAAGTTACTTAAGTCCAATCAAATTTAAAATGGGATGGGATTTAAATAATTATTCCCAATGGGATATTCTTGTTAAGGCTAGCACTAAATCCCCTTCCTAAACCCCTCTCCCTCCAAGCATGCCGCCGGCCCCTCCTTGTGCTCCCCCCTTTCTCTCTCCACATTAGCTCCCCACCTTAAAAGACCTCAATCAAATCTCTCATTAAGGATTACCTTCCTTTCTTTCTTCTTATTTAAAATTCAAATTACATAACCTCAAATCCCTCCAAACAAAAATCTGGAACTACTTTCAGATTTTTGGAAACTTCCTTTCCCCTCTCCTATTAACCACAAGCCCTTCCCCACCTCCTCCTCCCTTCCTCTCTCCCAATACAATTCCTAAACCCTAATTCTAGGTTTCCAAATTGCTGTCCAGATTTCC